CCCTGCCATACCCTGCCCTGCCTCAGCCCGGCCCGCCCGCCAAGCCCACTCACCCGCTCAGTGGCGGAGGGGTATCGGGTTGCGACGAACAGGTGCCGCCCGGCACCTGCTACGGCCTCGAGGGGGAGGGGAGGGGGGAGCTCATATGCAAACGCGACGCAGGGAACACAAGGTCGCAAGACGCCTGCACGCTCGGCCGTTCCCACGCACTGCCTCGATATGCACCAAAAGAGATGCAGAGAGTAAACAATTCCTCAACTTGAATTATCGAGTAGATATAAAGAATGCTTAAAGATGAAGTTCTTAATTACATTTATTAATAGTATACTGCAGTCATTTCTGTTTCATAAAATAATATATCGCATAAAGTCATGAATCAACTGTAAAATTAACATAATAATATAACATGTTTCAAATATTTTTGTAAGAAGCCGACACTACGCGATATATAGTATATCGACGGCCCAATTCCGAAAAGGAATATTTGAAGTTTAGTATCGCATTTGAAAATGTCGGTTACATCACTCGAATTTGAAATATATGGCTAATATTATAATAATAAATTTTAAATGCAAGTGTTGTAACTGAGATCTTTAGATATTGAAAATGGAAATATCTAAAAAGTTATAATTTTGAGACTCGCCTTATTAAACCGCGTTGTCCGTGTACAAGTGCATTTTTTCGCGTATATGCCCAACTCGGACCATGCGTGTATCCCGTGGGGCAGAATTTTACCGGAATCCCGATTTTTATCCCCCAATGTTATTAGCCCTAGGGGTATGGACTATGAGATGATGATAGTGAGGGGTGAAAGGACGACTTTCACATATAGCATACACACATACACCCATGTCCGAGGTGGTACTCAAACCCGCGGCCTTATAGTCCCAAACCGCTACAACACTTCTGCCCTAACGATCTCGGCCATCTGACCGGCTTATTCAATGGCAGTATGTACCGTAATTACAGAAAATGCACAGGTGTTTTCGTGTTCGGTGTTTTCTGCCAACTAAGCTGAGCAACGCCCCTCTCGTGTTGCCAGTGCGAAGACATTTGTGCTTTGGGGATAACGAGTGTTTTCACCAGCATGTTTGAACGTAGTGAGACCGTTTCTGGATGGAAAATGAAGAGCAGTTAACAGATCCAGTCTCTCGTGTAACTTGTTAGAGATAAAAAAAAAAAAAGGAAATGACAATCCTGTGTCTGTGTCGTAAACCCGAGCAACCGTGTCGAACTCACAGGACCGGAACACGTTCTTGCAAAAGTAATGTTTCACTTATTATTATAAAATTGAAAAATTACCTATTAGATCTCACATTTACTAAAATTTTGTAGGAGAGAAAGACAACGTCGTTTTAATCAGATTTTTTTTGCAAAAATAATATTTACGTTGAAAAGTTACGAGACAGTATGAGTAACTATGACTAGAGTAGCCTTTCATCTCTGCATTCTATCTGTTTGTTTCCAGTAGGTACTTTTGTGATTTATAAGTGAGAGTATGAAATTATAATCGAAAAATGTTTGCCACGATATATTAAGACGTTATTTCTTATATAGTGTTATAATTAATATAATTTAAGTTTTGCAACATTTTCCTTACCACAATGAAACTAAATAAATCTACTTTTTGACTAAATAATTAACTAAATAATTCTTGACTATTATGACTAATATATGACTATTATGCTTAAACGCTAATTTTCTTCCTCAAAACTTATTCTATGAGTGAGGCATTTTACCTCATCCGAATGAATACATTATACATTAGTTATACATTAGTCAAGATGGTAACGAATGGATACTTTTCCAATTTCCAATATTCCGAAAATTATGATGATCATTAGGAGTATTAAGATGCAATTAAAATAATCATTACTTTCATGTATTAACACAAAATAAGTATTTTCCGTATTTTTCTGACCATGTTTTAGTCGACTTTATCGTTATTTCCAAATAAGAATCTTGAAATACGCTATAAAGTGAACAATTTTTCCTGCGCGAGAACAACGGTTCCGCACAAATTCCTTGTCAATGCACAACGCGCAACCGCTTCTTTTCGTTATTGTGGAACAAGAAGTGCAACTTCCGAGAAAGTGCGTTGACTTCGGTTGCTTCTCTCGCCGCCGGACGAGTCTAGCCAGAGACGGCGGTCGCTCTGAATCCAAACGGGTCGACCAGTCGATCTCCTCCGGTCACTCTCTATCAACACGACCTTCTCTACGAGAGGCAACCCAGCGCCTCCCCAACCATTCATTTGGACCAAATGGATCAATCTACTTTCGCCGAAAGACTCAGAACGGCACCTCAACCATCATTGCATATTGGTCCCTATAAAGTACAGAACAAAATAAGTTGATGTTCGAAATGTACCAGTTGATTAGTACGTGTGAGTAACAAACAAGTTCACGTAATAAAGTGCATTCACGCGAAACAGAGGTGAACGTAGAATGAAAAAATTAAGCAAATGGAGGCAAAGAAATATTTCAGATAATTTATTTTGATTTGTTTCAATAATAACGCTGTGAGGAAGGGCACAATACGCTGGCAGAAAGGTTAACCATCAGTACGTACCTCAACAGTACGCTCAGAGGAAGACCACAATACGCTTGCCGAAACGTTATCCATCAGTACGTACCTCAACAGTACGCTCTGAGGCAGCATGTCAGTGACGCGGCTGGTATCGGGATAGCCTGAACAACACACCTCGTACTTCAGGCGTACAAGGTGGTGTGGGGGGGGGGGGGGCTTACCTTGATGCTGTTGGCGGAGAGGTTGAGGCGGCGCAGCCCGGTCAGCGAGCGCAGCGCCACGCTCGGCACCTCCGCCAGCGAGTTCTGCGCCAGGTCCACGTGCTCCAGGGTCTCCCCGCCTGCGGCAGCGCCAGCGCCAGCGCGTCAGCGGGCGCAACCCCCACACGCCCTCCCGCCCCGCGCGCGAGGGCGACGCCACTCGCCCCCGACCAGCCCCGGCCGCAGCCCCTCGACGACGCCCACGGAGCTGGCTCGGGGGAGGGCGGCACACGCACTTTTCGGGGGAATGAAATCTCAGCGCCTCAAGCTCAAGCTAACCGCCATTTCCATCTAGCTAATTCCGTTTTACGAGAATATATTTCTCAATTGGTAGCCATCACTAACTACTATAAAGAACAATTTACTAATTTCTAAAAAATTGCATCCCTTATCGGTGGAGTTTTTTGGTCTCAACATCCTTGTAGATCTTATTGTCATTATGGATAATATTTCACGTAGTAGGAATGCATTGCAGTTTATCAAAAAGAAAAATACTTGACTACGCATCCCGATTCTTAAGCTTCTATTAAACTCGATGACTCTCACTTAATTTTCCCATTTTTTGTCCTTCCTTTATCTATTAGAACTGTATTGTCTAAGCATTTTCATTCTGGACATGATACAAATTCAAGAAAATTGGACTTAAACAACGTCGGATTCTTTTTGACAACAAAAATAACACTGTAATTTATTTTTTTAGTCGGAAAGTTACTTACGTCGATATGTAATAAATTATTCGAGTAATAGACAACGATTTTTTTTATTATAAAATCTACTTCAAACTTACTAAATGAACTTGACATTCAATTTTTGATGCACATCTAACAAAATATTGTCAACTTTTACCAGTACGCAACATTATCCTCTTATTTCAGTGTCTTCTGATCGTTCCCTCTCGGCTTTCATTCCCAATAGAACACAAGCACTTAGTCTGTGTATACATAGTAAAGGTAAGGCAAGTGTGTACGTTGAAAGTCCGGATGTTTAGATGAAGTAAAGTGGAGAAAGTTATGTTCCAATATGCTACATCATTCTTTGCTCTTTGAACAGGACATAAAACAGGCCTGGAAAATGCTGCAATGTTATAATTTGATATCTAAAAAAATCACACTACTAAAAATATCTTGTCTAAAATGTGATAGGATGCATAATAAAAATTATGATATTTTATTAATTAAATTTGTTCAAAGAATTGTCACCCCGACCGGCACATATTTGGTATTCTTAACGTCTGCGGAACATATTTCCGAGCGTAAACGCGTTCAAAAGGTGGCAGGGCTGTGACAATTATATATTTTTATTGTAATACAAAATACAATCTAACGAATAAATAAATAAACGTCGTTTAAATTCTAGGTTTAAAAGAACAAAATATTGATCTCAAGAACCACAAATTATACATATATTTGAAGAATTATTTTTAAATTTTATTACTTATTTTTAACCATATACTTTGTTAATTCGTTCAGCCCTAGCGCAACCTGTCCTGTAAGGGCGTCTGTGTTGGAGTGAGGAGAGCGCTACCTTGGAAGACGTCGCTGTTGAGGCGCGTGAGGTGGTTGTGCGCCAGGCGCAACTCGCGCAGGCGCCGCAGGCCCGCCAGCGCGCCGCCCTCCAGCGCCGCCACCAGGTTGTGGCTCCGTCCAGCCGCTCCAGCGCGGGCTGGCGCTCTCCAGCGACCCCAGCGCGCCAGCGCCTTGCAACACGCCCACCCCCTCGGCTCAGCCTCTCCCCCCACACCAACCGCACACTACACGGCACTGCGCCAAGGTTGAAACGACTAAAGACTGATGGGTTACGTCGAGACTCGCCTTTTCATACTTTTGCTTAATTCTCTATAATTATTTATTATAATTATTTATTATAATTATTTATTATAATTATTTATTATAATTATTTATTATTACTTATTATTATTATTTATTATTATTATGATTGTCGTTCTTGTTAAAGTCATTAGATGGATAAATAGCAAATAACTAATCAAACCTATTATTTGCGTTAGCAGACGATCAACATTGTTTGCAATACCATTTTCTTGTAAGAAATTAGTTGGAATGTGTGGTATGTAGAACATTAACCTCATCATTACTCAACCATTACTTTGATTTGTTTAAATTGCATGAAACCGTTTAAAGATCTAGATCTGGCAGTAGTCCGACGGCATACGGGTGCTCAATCCTCGTCCAAAACTCCAGAAAAGTATGGTAATTTGGAAAAATTAATTAAAAATTAAAATTAAAATATCGATCTTGGGAACGATATGTGGTGTGTTATATTTTGTGTTCTAGAAGAACATTAATATCTACAGATTTGCTACAGCCCTAAATTTTATGACACACTCTCCTTGAAAATTCCTGCATAAAACACTGTTTTTTCTAGTTGGAAAGAGCATAAATATTTATTCGGTATTCTATACTTTTGAAACAAAATTATTTGAATTATCTTGAATATTCTAAATTGACAATAAACTAACGAAAAATTAAGAACGGTAGTGTGGTTATTTATTGAACACTTTCATTACGCACAGATGTTTGGCAGGTCAAAATGTGACGCAGTCTACCAGATAAACCATGAACCCGTCGAACTTCTATGAAGATAGAGGGTTGCCTAAAAATCAGGAGCAAAACCACATGCATAAATGCCTTCAAATCGGTAATACGAGATTTCCCAGAATATCTTCATTGGGGAAAGGTGTTCATTTTTGCCCCTCTCCATACCCTAGACGTTTGTAACAATTATTCTGAGACAACCTGCAATCAAAGCATTATGAAGTGAATTGAGTGAGTAATTGTTAAGTGATCTCAGGTGCGTCAACTGCTAAGGTTATTAGTTCCGTAAGAGGATAGCACGTTTTTTATTGCGGGAAGTGCCGGTGATCTTCCCCGCTGAATGACAAGATCCGTCGCCGACTTACGTCGGCTCCGGATATTCCCCAATCAGGAATCTCCCATCAGCTTGGCACTGCCCCAACCGGGACAAGCTCTAAGCTCCCTACCGGCCTCCCGAGGTGTCAGTAGCAGTAGTACAGCGCATGTGAGGTTACGTGTGTGTTTGTGAAATGAAGATGTAGTGATGTGATATTAATTTAAAAAAAATAATTTTTGTTTGTTAAGTTGTTGTCAGATTACTTTCATTTTCATTTTTATTCAAAACTTTTCAGAATATTTTTCTTGAAACTTCGTAGCGAGTCGCAGAGTCTACGCAACGCGCACTGTGTTGTAGCGGTGCCACTCACCGATGCGGTTGTGCCTGAGCGACAGCGCTCGCAGCGCCCGGGGGCCGTTGAGCGAAGCAGCGGGCACGGCTTCCAGGCGGTTGCGGTCCAGCCGCAGGTCCTGCAACGAGCAAACACTGCGTCAACAGATGCACCCTCTTTACGTACACACACGTCTATGACTGCTGTGGCCGCTGGATAATCCTGTTTTGTACAGTAAGAGTGATCCGCATATGGATCGCCTGTGGGAGTAGAGGCAAAAATACAAAATTTTAGTCTTAAATATTTAGACATAACGTCACAAGTAGAAACGTTTTATCAACTGTGTTATTTACAGTAATAAAATTTTGAATTATAGTTAAACTAATGAATATACTGACAATGACGGTTCTGGATACTGCGTCTCGTAACTTATCGAAGAAGATCATTTAGTTTTTTGGTTGTAGAAGAGTCGTAAACAATTCTCATGTTTGAAGATTCCTGCAAAGTCAAAATAGTGTACTCCCACCATTAAACAACTTTTGTCGGAAAATACCTTATGGAGACATTTTTGTGCTGTACAAATACCACAGAAAGTGAAATAAGATCCCGCACCTGCGTGAAGAGATGTAGAAAGTAAAAGACGACCTGCAATGAAACTGTATGGCGAAGTGCATGTATCGTGCAGACAGCTATTATTTTTTACAGATTTCTATTTAATGCTATGAATTTGAAAATCTTTGATGTGGAGGATTTATTATTCTCGTACATCCGAACTTAGTTTTTGAATAGTTGTAATTTTGTGATAACTCATATCTTCGCCGCTGAAACCGGGGATTGGCGTAGTCCCTTATTCAGGCAGTCACGAGTCAGCGACAGCAAGGTGCGTGTGGCGGCCGCGGTTGCGCCGTGGCAGAGGAGCGCAAGAAAGCAGGCTGGCGCGCGCAGCCCGCTCTCCTCTCGGTCTCCGCTGGAGCCACCCGTCAAGATAACTGTACCGTCGCCTCTGCGATTCACTGCCCCGTCGGCGAGACTTTTCGATCGGCGGCGCGACAGCTGGCAGTTACGGTGCCGGTGGACACGACGGTGGTGTTGATTTGTGGGAGAGAACGGCACAACACGTCGGAGAGCAGTGGAAGCAACAGAATAGTAATGCAAATAGTGAGAATGATGAGGAATTAATGGTAATTGCTTAGATGCTAGTAATAAATGGAGAATCAGGAAGTGTAATGCTGAAATTAGATGAGAAGAATGAAGATACAAATGGTGATAGCTGCAAAAGGAAAATTATGATGCTCTATGTGTCAATAATAATAGATTTTTAATACGTTTTCAGTGTTACCAACCAAGGTGATTGCATTTTCGTGGTGGTTAACATTTTTCAAGCTGTAATCCTTAAAACTGTTCCTTCGTGTTCATAGAATAGAAATAAATATCCACCAGAAAAATTGCTATAATATAAAAATATATACGTGGTATAAAAAATATCCATCAAACAACTGAATCTGCATTACAAGCCTCTCATAAACTATATTTATTTTCTCCACACATTGAAAATGATAAAATAAAGACTTAAATTAGAAAATATAGCAGTTAGTAAGAAATACCAATTGAAACGCTCAAACATTATAAAAATTAATATGCTAATTGTATAAATAATTTAAACAAAAATAGTTCTTGAAAAGGTTGAACTTTCGATATGTAAATATTTTGTAGTTGTTGTGCAAACTCAGACTCTATATTTTTTTATTTTGTTCCCATACAAGTTGTGCTGAATATAACCATTAGCGTACACAATGTTATTATCATATTCCTTATTCACTTCATTCAATACTACTTATTAATAGTGTTTGAGATAAGATTCATAAGAGGAATATAATGGAACAAATTCATCATACTTCTTTGCCTTATTCACCGGGCGAATGGTTAATTAACGAGCATTCTGATTTATGAATTATAATGATGTCTCTCAACCTACTCTTTATACTTCCTTGCAAACTGCTTATGCGGTATAGGGAAGTTATGTAATGTTGCCAGAAAATAGCGAATTTGCGGCAGAAAAACAGCCAGTTGCTAAATTTTAAAATCTTCTCTTAATACCTGATGCAGTGTGAATTCATGTTTTTTGGGTCCTTGAAACAGGAAAATAGATTGACGGTAGAACGTCTATCCATCTGTCTGTCTGTGAACAACGCTAGCGGCTAAACCGTTCAGTCGATTTTCTCCAAAATTGATATTTCCCAATCGATCTGGTTGATGTCACGGTCCCTTTAATTAGATTGCTTAATAGACGTTCAAGAGAATGGTTCAGGTCTCATTTCATTAAAATCCCAGATTTTTTGAAAAATGCAAAAAATTTAAGTTTTTCTACGTCTTCCTACAACTGAAATATTGAAGATAGTTCTTTTTTCCTTAATCTGAATAAACATGCTAGTTCAATGTTTTTTATAAACAGTGATTCAAAGAAGTGTTTATTTCATTAATATAACGCCAAAAGCAGTGAAGACTGTATAAAGGTGTGAGGAAGGAATATATTTGCTGCGAATTCTCTACCCTTTCTCTTTTTGTACATTTCGCACGGGTATAAAGTATGTTGAGAGCGCTTTTGCAAATTTTGGTAGCAAGAAATATTTGCCCCTGTGCGACAGAAACTATTTGCATGAGAACAGATTACTATGACTATTACTACATGAGTGCGATAGAAACTAGTTACACGAGATACAGATTATATTTGACAATACTGCCACGAACTGTGATGTGAAGGTTGTTTCACGTCTTTAATCTCCCTTCTTGCAAAAAATTTTGCTTCCGGAACGCAATTTAAGAAGCACCGAGACGGGGTGTTGGTGAATGTTAGGGGTTGCGGTCCCGAGGGGCGGTTGCCTCAGCGGAGGCGGCGGGGGCAGATTTTGCGCCGCGTGCGCTTCCTGGCCGCACGCGAACAGGTTGCGTCGTCGCGTTGCGTCGGGGCGGCGGTGGCGGTGGCGGCGGTGGTGGTGGCTGGCGTGGCGCGTGTGCGACGGTCTGGCGGTGGGCGGCGCGGCGGCGAGGCGGGGCGGACAGAGGCTCAGGTGGAGGCGAGGCGGAGGCGGCGGAGGCAGGGGAGGCGGTGGAGGCGGCCGGCGACGGCGGCGGCGGCGAGGGGGCGCGGGGACGGGAACGGCGGCGGTGGAAGGCGGTGGAGGCGGCGGCGAGCGAGGCGGAGGGGATTGGCGGAGCGGCGTGACGACGGCGGCGGCGACGGAGGCGGCGGCGGCAGCGGATGCGGCAGCGGAGGCGGCAGCGGAGGCGGAGGCGGAGGCGGAGGCGGAGGCGGAGACGGCTTGGCACGCGACCTGCCTAACCACCGGCACGGCGTCCGCCCGGCTCCAAACCAACGCCGCCTGGAATACAGGCGGCGTTGCTCCAGATATTGCAGGTGGCGTTGCTCCAAAAGCTCTACAGCATCAGCTGTCGGCTCGTCGCCTGGGGCCCATTGCTGACAAGGGAAGGACGCGGCGACGACGACCCATCACGACCACGCCCATTCCTACATTCCACTTTACTTAAAATTGTTAATAATAAACGTTCGTAATAAAACAGATGGTAATTAGGTTTTATATGCAATCTTCCTCAATCGAAAATGTAAGAATGTGATACAAGTCGATAAAAATCAATTGCTTTATGAGACTTGCACTAACATTGTTGCATTTATGACTGTTGTTATTGTGATTGTTCATCTTGCTGTTGCTGGCTGCTACTTAACTGGCTTTACTACTATTTTGCAAAATACGTTACTGTAATTATTATATTGTCCTATAAATATGGTTTTCAAGTCATTCTCCTATACTATTCTAATTCCCTTTCCCGAAAAAATATATTTCTCAATATCCAAGACAATAAAAAGCATGAAATGTAATGTATTTTTACTTTTCCTCCCTTCACGGCAGTATAGGAAGGGAAATTATTAGCATCACCTCAGCAATACAATACGTTCTGGGGATATGATACATAAAGTCCCTGTGACATTTTCACAATTTTCTGGAAAGTGACGGCAACTTTTTTCTTTACATATTTGTACTTCACCATAAGCAGTGCATTTTAAAAAGTTGCATAGTTCCTATTTTCATTAAAACGTCTGAAATTCTGAAAATTAAAAACGTTGAATTTCATTTTCGAACCTTCTTTCAATATTACAGCCAGATATTGTTTACTCTTTGTCTAAATTTTTTTGTCTTTGAGAAGGAAGAAAAGTTTCGGTTTGTCGCGCATTCCAGCCTCAACAGATTTCCATGAAGTAATGGTCTATGAGAGTAAATTTTATGAACAATGAATGATGTTCTATAGCGTGTCGCAGGGATCTGCGGTGTGTGGCCTAGCGAGCTTCTCGTAATTGCTATGACTGCATGAATATTTTTATACAAAATGTAGTTGAGATTGCTCTAACGGGAAATCGCTATTTCTGAAGTACTATTTTTTTACCATCTGCTTTATCTTCATACTCGTCATCCTCCTTTTCACTTGATATTGTCTATTACCACCCACAACGCCGTCGTACATTCCACGGTGAAAAGTAATAAGTAAATAAGTCTTATAATACGTCATCTCCGCCGTAACCACACTTCAAATGTGTAGATTCGATGAGAAACAAAGATGCAAAGTTAGCACTTCCGTTGCCGAGCAATTTGATGTGACAATTACTCAGGAGAAACGAACCGTTAGCTCGGAGTTCACGCAATTATAACGATATAAAAAGAGACTTGCACTTCTTGACGCGCACTTCGAAAGCCGTTTCGCGGGCACGACTGCGTCCATTTACCGTTTTCCGTTCAGCGAAGAAAGCAAAACACTCTTACATGAAATCGTTCTGGGCAAACAACGAACAATACAACAAATGTAATTTGCAAGAGTGATGGCGTATATTTCTGAGGGACCATGTTTTGTTTTGTTTTTCAGCTGGAAAAAAACACCAACTGTTTTGGACTGCTGAATCATCATATAGTCATTTGATCTTTGCCGAACAACTCATGGATGAAATTTTTGATAGCTAATTACAATTCTCCTAGAGAATTTAACCATTTCTTCCTCCACCTGGTAACTGTAGAAGAATGGACATTGATAAACTATGACTGTCATATAGCTTTACAATTTTTAAGCTTGAAT